ATTCTTAGTTACGTGTGCTCACGTGCACTGAGTTCATGGCCAACAATTGGCAAAGAATGATTAGAAAAATAGATCTTATTAAACGGGGTCATGAAAGGTTATTCGTTGCCACGAGGTTTGAAGCGCGGGGTTCTTTGCCTTCTCGAGGAGTTTACATAGAGAATCACGCCATCTTCAAAGCTTGTTTTTCCAAGTGGAGTTTTTCCCACGCAAAACAATGGCACACTTTTACAAACAGGAGAATGATCGGAAACGAAACACTGTGTCAGAACAATGTAGTCCTTACGCTTGTTATTTCAGTAAATAATTATTTGGCCGGGGCATCTAAATTCGGCACAAGGAATGTTATTGCAAACCAAGCCCACGGCGGCCTAGCCATTCCTTGGATACTTTTGCCGACAAAATGTGGACATCGGCGGGAAATGTTTTTACAAACAGAACTACCACATCGCAAAGTGAAATTAGGTGCCGACAAAAGGCAAGACACGCGGTGTCTGGCGTTAAGGCAATTGAGATCCTTTGTTTAGATAAGGTCGATGGAGACGTGTGCTTTGTGCCCCTTTGTGAGGTTTATCGCGATCGATATCAAGAGAATATCGTTTGACAGTAGACAGAGCTAAACTGTGAATGCACACAAGCCAGGTCATTCCGCTTTGGAGTTTTAAGCAAGATTATTTCTTGTCGCGCTTGGAGGCCGGAAAAGGTCGTTTGTCGCTCAGGCTGGGGTGCTAAAAGGCTCAGGTGTAAGCATCTTAAATCATTTAGCGAGTAAATGGCATTTTATTGAGTCTTGTTATCAGAATATAGCGATCTTGACGCGGACCGACAATGCAATCTTCATGTCATGATAGCGTGGTTATCAGTTTCAATGTTGATTGGAAAGAGTTCAAAAGTACAAGCAATTATTTCAGTCCTCCGGTTTTTATTAAAAAAAAAAAAAAGAAAAGAGAAAAATCGTAAACCTGGTATCATGTTAAAACAGACGTCCTGCGGGCTATCAGTAGATAGAACTGGATCGATTTTCTACCGATATTTGAGAAAAGAATTACGACAAAACAAAAGCGAATTATTTACGAGTAAAATTTCCAAGGTCATCGAAAGTATTGTGAATGTAGGCCGAGTTTTTTCAGTTTCTAGTTGTGGTTTTGGAAATTCGGTATGTTTTGCCTTTTCCTTTGAAGTTTTCGGTTTTCCTTGAGCTTTAGAAATGGATAACTTTCAGAATGAAATATTTCCTTTCTGGAATTTGGTTACATTCATCGATATTTGCGCTAGTTATGCAATACCTTCTCTTTTCAATGTTATCTCCAATGCCCTTGAAGCAACATTCAACCGTGTTTGAATATAACTTCTGTTTGATATGCTTCTGAATTCTGGGAGAATACCTACTTGTTGTATATCGTGACAAAACTAAACACGGTTGATAATCTTCGTTCCAACCATAAAACCGTCATAAAACGTAGTAATGAGTCAAGACGCTGAAAAACACCTAAAGTTCTAATCAAAATTTTTAAAAAAAAAGGCAAGTCAAAACAACATTCCTTGATTCTGGAGCACGGAATAGGTTTGAAACATATTATTACCGACAGAACTAGCTACCAAACTGCCGGAAGGAAAATGGTTTTGGAAAACTGCTTCTATGATATCTCGAACTTAAGTTTCCATTTTCATCAATGTTCGTGCCAATTCAATTGCACAGAAAAGCTTTGCTAAAACATTAAATCAGAAAAACCACAGATATCATAACAAGTGAATAGCAGAAGAACGGAAGCTTTGCAGAGTTTAGTTAGTTCAATCTTTTGAAGTTCAAGTTTTTCCTTCCTGTGTACCGACTATATGATGCCGACTGACATTTTTGCGCACTTTTGGTCTTTTTCTAAGAAAGAAAAATGACTAGCCGTTAGTCTTACAAATACATATACATGTATATACAAATATATACATACATATATATATATATTTTTTTTTTTACTTTTTCACAGTAAGGCTGGGTTTTTAGATATTCTTCCCCTCGAAGCATTCAGCTAGGCCGACTTTTCATCTTGAGGAACCGGCTTTAGGGTCGTTTGAAATGCTTTTATAGTTATGAGTTTATTTTGTTATTTTTCATTGGATCATTGGGAGAAAGAGTTGACAGTCGACATAAAACTATGCTGTTCACGGCTAATGGGAATATTTTTCCGGAGTTTTCTCTCAGTGCAAGCGAGGTGGTTCTAAAAGAGGGGAGGCCGGATATTGTGGTACAAATGTGTCGTAATGATGAATCGAAACATGAGTTATGACCTTTCGCGAGGAAAGTTAATGATAACTTGTAATTTTGTGGGCCTGTTTAATCAGGCTCAAAGCCACAGTTATTCTTAAAAGGAACAAAGAACCCAAATAATTTATCGACCTGATGAATTGTGAAAAAACAAAATTCTATGTAACAGACTGCCGAACGACTAAAGCTATAATTGATACCCTCGTTAGCCTCACTTCTTAAGGAGAAAAGATGGTGGCGCAGTAAAAAAATGACTTTTAACGAGACATCCCATTTTTTCATTAACTCTGCTAGTGTAAGCCCCGAGGCTAATTCTTTCTACAGTAAAAGTGTTTAATGACTTATCCCGCCTCGCTCTTCTGATGTCAGAAGATTTTTAAGTACTGTGGTTAAAATTATATCGTCAGACAGATTTGAACTTGAAAATATGCCATCTCGCCAATCGCGTCTTTGCAATTCTTTGCAATAAATTGAGAGAGTTACTTTAAAAGTGTCCTTTCAAACATTATCGAAGGAAATAAAAAAAAATTATCGTTGAGATTGGATGAATTTCAATATAACGTGACTTTTGCATATGTTGTAATTATTGCGTAAAATTGTTATTCAGTTCAAAAGTTTATCTCGAGCCTGCACGCGACCGTAATTTGCAAGTCATGAAAAGTCATTTCGAAATTTTGTCACTCAGACAATTATAAAATTCGCTATTTCCTTTTCCTCCTTCTTATATTCTAAACACTCCTGGATAGAGATAAAGCTTGTTAAGTAATTATTTTTTCTCGGGGCATTGCTCATTAAGATGCAAACAAGACTATCTAAGGTAATAGAATTTTCCACCTATGCGTCTTTAAAATTATAGAATTTGTGGCGTGTTTTCTTTCCTAGCGTTATCGTCATTTTAAAATCAAGTCCTCAAATAATTTTAACGATAAATGACATGCTTAATTCCCTAAAATTAACTAAAAAGTATTGCGTGTCGTCTCGCAGGAAACGCAATTTATCACATAGAAGAATCATCTATTTATACTTTCATAGTCCACACCAGAAGAGCTATAAATTTTAACTTATAGAAAATGTCAGAACTCAGAAAAGCGAATATAACAAGTTGTTGTGTTGAACAGCCACTTGATACTAAAGGAAATTTAGAATCCGCCCGAGTCAGTTGATCAGTCGCATATAATAGCCATCTATTTTAGGAAAAAGTTTCCTGAGGCAACGGAGTTTGCTACATCAAATAGCCTTAAAATGGCTAAAGAGAGGTCACTTACTTTTAAAAGCTACCCATTAAGGGTTTAATTTGTCCATATAATGAAGAAAAAAATTATGGCAAAGATCGACGAAAGAATACATTTAATATATCAGCGAGCGATGAAATTATAATCAGCCCTTCCAGATCCAACTCTGATGACGAAAGAGATATGAAATTGTGTACGCAGTATGTATTATTTTGTTAGATTTTTTTTACACATCATCTCTTATCTGACGTCGGTATCATGAACCCTACAGTTCTTGTTTGCCTAGATGAAAATCAAAAACAGAGTACAATGTGGCGAGTAAAAGAGTCGAAAGTGTAGCAATTATTGATTTCGTAGACAGTGAAGGTCACCTGGGCCGTTCACCTTGTCTGCATATTAAGCACGCAAAACAAAAAGATCACGCAAAGTTTCTGCACGTGAAAAAAATCAGATTCGGGGCCAAACACTTGGCAAACATTTCAAAGGCAAGTGCCTATTCCCGAACATAACTAACCAAACAGGAAGCACTTTCTAAAGGAGCACACAGCATCGACCACGGTAAAATCACATGTTGATCACAATGGCTGTCAGAAGCCATTACACTGCATAATAACTCAAAACAAAAAAGAAACCTATCAGAAAGTTCCATTCTTTCCCGTTTCTCTAGCCCGAGGCGATAAGGGGGCAAAGCACACGAAAGTTCTTGTGCAGGTGCTGGCTAGAATAGTTTTGTTATATCCCGAAGGGAAATAGGTTGACTCTGCGAACAATTTAGTCCGCGAGCAATACGATAAACATCGACTTTTAAGCGTTTCACTCCGCCTTTTCCTTTCAAAGTGATGAACGATGAAGATGTATACAAATATTCATCAATCCCCTTTCGTGGGCGATTTATCTCATTATCAGCAGTATCTAGAGAGGAAGGAAAGGGAAGAGGGGATTGACAAAACGAACCAAAAGACAAAACAAGGCGGGGTTCAAAGTGTCAAACTTGCAAAACAGCACCAGACATTTTCGGTCTTTAAGGCACCTCGGTGTCTAGAAAGATATTTTTTGTCAAAAAAAAATCTTAGCATTGAAGCCCTTGTCACTGTAATTGTCTGCAACACTCAAACATTTATCATGCTAAATTGCCAGTACAGTACGCTGTAGATATGCGCGGCAACGCCGCGAAAAGTTCACTTTTTAAAATCGGTGTTGGCTCATGCCATCAACCTTTTCTTATATCATCGAAGGAAACCGTTCGGTGAATGCTCAAACCTTGTCTCATCTTGCAGCCGAAACAAAGACTTACCATATTTGTTTTCAAAACATTCAGCAGAACATGCACGGGTTAAAAGATCGTATCTTTACCGCAACACGCGCGTAAAAAGCCTTCGACTTCAGCAGCGCGCGTAGGGTAAGCCACCGTGTCGCTGATTGAATATTACATCGTGGTTCTACGTTCTTCACGACTGAAGTCTAGCGATGGATAATTTGGGAAAACAATTTAATACGCAAACACTGTATCCTGATGTACTTTTATCTTTATTGAGAACGTCTCTCTCTCTCATCCCGTGAAACGGATCCTATAGGATATATACACTGTCGACACAAGAGCATAATGTTATGCCCCTTGCCATAATTCATGCTGAACTTACGCTAAATAGAATGTTCGTTGCGGCTTGCGATAGAAGAAATAAATTAAGATTTTCGGAAGATGAGCGTGTGCCATTCGTTGGACGTCCACTCCTCATAAGTTCCTTAGGATAGAAAGTCTTTGGTCGAGGAGTCGAGGATTTCAATTTGCCCCTATTCCTTCATGCGTTCGCGATACCAAATGGGGCGCCTGCTCCGAAAACTGCACCTAACAAGAGAGAGGGTTAAAATAAGTTTGTGCGAAAGGGAATGTCAGCGCAGCCAATTCTGTCTATACAACGGGAACAAACAGATTACGAAGTGTTCAAATGAGACAAGACCGATAGGGTTTGATACAAGGGCATACTCGAGCCAAGGGCACAAAGAGTTCGCCTTAGAATAAGATGTGCTAGCTTTACTTTTCTCGGCTGATTTTCAAAGAGAAAACGCAAATAAATTTTGCCATTCTGGTTGTTTTAGTAGTTACAAGCGTCGCTGAGATTCTTGTGTAAAAAAATGCTACCATTGCACAGCGTAAAGACTTACGCATGTGTTCTTTGTTTTTCCTAAATGAACTCTTTTACCACATGCTGGGAAGTGGATGTTTATCACGATTAACTCAACAAATATCCCGCTGTTAGGAAAAAGGTCAAAAAACGTCTTTGTTATTGGTTGAATGTTTAAGTTTTCGACTTCTAAGCCTATGGCCGTCGATTCCACGACGCTCTGCCAGATTTATAAACTAATAGAAAGCTTCGAAGGTGACGAGCGCGGAAAATTCTAAAAAATCCCGCTTTCTTCTGCCTCTAATCCAATATTGTGGTGTTTTCAGAACGTGGAATGTTGAGAATGAACAAGAATTGAGAAGGAATACCGTAAGATGAATAACTGCTCAAGTTACACTTGACTTAGGGTCTTCATGAGTTCACGAAACTGCGAACTGGATTCATTAGCTTCGTATATTTGGAGAGTGTTCAAAAACAACAATGCCCTACCGGTGTCTTGTTCATTATGGTACAAATTCAGTCTTACAATTGGGAAATTTTGCGATACCTTCGTAAAGAATAGCTGCCAATAATTTGCTGGACCACCGGCGCTGGTGAAGTTTAAGCGCCAATGATAATTGCCTACAGTTTTTCTTCTTTAAGCAGTGAGAAAAGTACACAAGGCCAAGTTTCCATTTCTTCCGAGAAGGCTTTGTTGTAAAAGGTGTGAGGCAATTAGTACAAATCACAATGCCATACAATGCTCGCAAATTTCACTTTGCCATAACTGCATCTTCACACCACACGAAAGAAACCGACGTCCAGTAACAAAGATCACAAACCCAAAAACAAACTTAAGTAGAAATCAAAAAAACAACGTCAGGTTCCGTCACTTTCAGTAAAGCCTCGACCAAAACGAATTTTTTTCTTGCAATAGATTTTAACAATGCCGTTAGGTATAGGTGAAAGTCCTCTTGGAAGAGTTGACACTAGTGAGCACCTTGCTACAAAAAGAATTATTTTACCGACTACGAACGGACCGAGGGAGATTCTGAAAAAGTGAATTGGCAATTCAGTATCCTAGTTGCTTTGATCGAAGACGATGAATTGAGTTATGCAAAATAGGCGAGCCTTCTATTCAGAAGGAGTGCAATTATCTTGTCATACACAAAAAAACACAAGCTCGCCTCAATGTATGCACGCTTGGATGGATGAATTAATGGTCCCCTAGGGGTACAAAATCTCTCCTTTGGATATATTTTGAACACAAGGGTTTCCGTTTGAGATGAGTTAAACGCTTGCTTGCGTTAATAGATAGCGCTTTGCAAGCCGTATAATTGGACCATTTAAACTGTTCAAGATGTTATACTTGCACGCGGGTGGAACGAGAGTGGAAACTGTAAAAAAACACAAAGGACACCTTGACACAAATAAAGTTTAAAGTTAGGTGATACATGCATGCTTAACTTAGCTTAGCTAGACATGCCAAGTACGCTTACCAGTTGTTGAAACGGACCTTGATCCATATCGTTGTGTAAAGCGAATTCATTGAGAGCCTTCCAAGGCTGATATCCGGGTAGATCGCTCAGTGAGACGTCAGCTGGCGGTCTTAGCGAAGGTGGAGTTAAATTCGTAGAATACGTCTGAACACCCGAAATAGCTGATGGCGGTAGGGAGCGGGAAATTGCATTCGGAGAGCTACCCGTCGGACTCTGTATATAGAGCGTATAAAGATACAATTTGATCACAAAACAGAGTTATAAAATTCGGGCCAATTATTATGACTTCGGCCTTGCTATGTTTGCCTTTACAAAGCGTATACAGTAGAGCTCCAACCGAGAGTAATGGTAATTGCATTTTTAGCTAGAATCTGCGAGTGGCGTTTAGCAAACTACGAGTATGCGGAAAAGGCGATAATCATTGAAGTCTCAAATCTTAGAGTTTCGAGCAGCAGTTTTAGTTGTCACTGTGTACATGTGATAATAACACAACGTCATCAGATGCAAACCTCGCTAACGAAGTCCGTCAGCGAGCAAGAATGATTTTATAATAGGCCACACACTTCTTGTATATTCATATTCAAAAGGTTGACTCATTTAGAAATCGCGTTCGAACGTCGCTATGCTCCTTAATCGAGATCACCGCGAAATAAGCAAACAATTTCCATGGCTGGTCACTAGTTTAACGAGGAAGTCGAGGAAATTCTTGTCAGGCTATGCTCTAAAATAACGCGGAGCCGTCGAGCCAGCTGTGAATGCTAACAATTTAAAATTAACACCTTCAACCTAATTCTTCCAATTATGTTAACAAGAAACATCCTCGATCGGCGAAGAATGAAAAAGATCCGAAATCAAGGCGCAAAGCGCTTTTTAGTGATAACAAAAAAACAGGAGAAAATGCCTTACGTTTGCTTGCCAAGCTCGATTAACCACCTGTGCGTAAATAGTATTTTTGTTTCCGTCTTTGCGCTGACAGAACTAAGTGTTAACGCTCGAATACAATGACAAGACTCGCTCGTACGCTCATTACAAACGGCTGAAGGAAAACTTAAAAATTGAAGACATTACCTGCCCGTCGTCTGAACCTGGTCCCTGATGTTGGTGATGCGAGGAAGTTTTGTTAAGCATCATAGATTTCTTCTTGTCCTTACAGCGTTTATTCTGAAACCACACTCGTATCACTCGAGGACTCAGCCCTGTCATCTCCACTAACTGTTCCTTCATCATCGCATCGGGTCGCGGATTCGCCGCGTAGCACGTCCGTAAAGTGTGCAACTGCTTTTCGTTCAACACGGTGCGAACCCTCGTCGTTTTTTCTGATTTCCCACGTCGCGTCGGTGAGCCATCCGGTTGGCCGTTTGAGTGCGCTATAAAGTTATTTATTACGGTAAGCGTAAGCTTGTGGTCCGTTCGAGGTCGAACCTAATATTTCGAGGGTCGAAACGGGGGTTCAAGGGGAATACTTAGCTGTGACAATATAGGGCTTTCAAGTCTATAAATGAATAGTGGTAAAATTCGTGAGCCACCACTTCTCACTCGCAATTATACTGACTGTCTCGTACAAACATCCTTCACTTAAGATTTTGTATTTTCCTGCGGAAATGTTTTTACTTCGGAGGAGGTAACATACACAGCGACAGTTCTAGCTGAATTATCACGGCTTGACGTTAATTTTTGAGTTTAAAACTACATCCTAACTGCCTAGTCTTAACAGTGCGCTGATGTTTAAAAAATGCATAGATGGCTCACTCAATTTGCCATCACGAAACTCTATAATCGGAAATGAATGTCACAAGTACTTATACGTGTTGAACTCTATAATTGAGAACCGAGGATATTGCCAACAAACATTCAATTTGGAATTAAGCCACTAGCGATGACTGAACGTGTTATAATATTCTTTTATGACTAAAGGCTTTGAGTTGTAATACTCTCTGGGAAGATCGCCGAAATCCAATTTGCAAGTTGCTTATCCACAGAGGGCCTCACATGAAGCGCCCGAAACCTAAAAACACACACAACACGACGCCATACGCCTGGTTCTTTCGGCCAAAATGATTTTGGGTAATTTAGAAGCTACCTTGGATACATGCAGAGTCAATCGTTGTTACTAATAGCGTTATCAACCCCAATTTGATTAGGTTGTGATATATACTCTGACAAGACCTACCGCATCGAAGAAGCAACACGGAGAGAAGAGACAGACCGACTTACCTGATGATTGAGACGAAGATCTTTGTCCTCCGCGAGCATGAGCCGCTTGAGCTGTTGCCGTAGCTTTCTCCACAATTTCGTTGTCTTCTTTACAAAATAACCCATCCTCCCGCAGAGCAAATTCGTCTCCTGGTACTAGCTGTCTACTGCAGGCGATGCAGCGAAAACAGTCTATGTGATAGATTTGATTCTTGGCCCTCATCACGAAATCATTTTTGGTCACCGACCGGGAGCACTTGGCGCACTTTGTGCCGAACAACCTGGAGAACAGAAAAGCAGAAGTATTCCACAATGGCTTTAAAGCAAATAATGCGCTCCGCAAGAACAACTTTCGCAAATAGATCTGTTTCGAATTCATTCGCATGCAGAGTGACCCGTCAGTGGCAGATTTGAAATTCTTCCCGCTCCTTTATTCGAACTCAGTCAAAATACTGAATATGCGTAAAAGCGCAGAAGGCTACGCAACGTACACACTCAAGATCGAAAGCGAAATTTAAGGAAACCACAAATCTAAATTGTACCTTTAGCCTCCTGCTTGTCGAGTTAGCAAACTTTCCCGCCTCGCTTGCCCACAATACGAAAGAGGCGGAGTCAGAAAATAACTTGTGTGAACTAAATTTCCTGAACTCCAGCCGCCCGTTAACCGTGTGAATTTCTTTATAATTAGCTTCCCTGATTCGACGCAACACAGAGCACAAACCGAAATATCTATGCATGATATAACACAGCGGGTGAAATCAGGGCAGGTAACTAGCCGCTGGCTTACGCCATGGCTTTGTGAAGACAATACGGTCATAAGGATCAAACAAGCACTCTGTCTTCGTAATTAACAACATTGATTCCTTCGCCTGAATAATATGCCGTCAATGTTTGTAATAAGCTGCCGTAATCCTACGATGAACACGGTTTGGTGGCTACGCCGGCGGCCAAAATTGGAAATGTATGTGTTGATCGCGATTTGATCGCACCCGGCAGGTCTGAGATCTTGATTTCGCAGCAGCAGACTACTCTGGCTTACCTAACATAATCACGTTTGCAGTACGTCTTTCCGTCGCGCACAAAACAAGTACATGTCTCGTCCAGATACGTGTGGCAGTCCGCGCATTTGAGACAGCCTGCGTGCCACTCCAAGTCGGGTGCTACGCGGAGAATGTACTGGTCTTGAATCTGAGATCCGCAGCCGACACACATAGATATTCGACGCTTCTCTGCAAAAGAAACACAAAACAAAACTTAAGAGCTCCTTGGTCTAAAAGCGTGACAGGAAATACTTTGTGAGTCCAAGAGAGCCGCGGCGCTGGGAGAAGGTTTATTTTGACGAGCAGGGAAATAGCATCGGGTGAACCACGTACGTTGAAGTTCCTGATCGCTCATTCCCGAGGAAGCTTCAGAATACACTCTTGGTGATATCAACCAAAATGGGATTACTAACTGAGCGACACTGCCAGCTGACGAACCGAATACTTCAAAATTCCGATCTCTTTAGATGCGTTATGCCATTGGCGCAGCCGGATCGTACAGAGACACGTGACTTGAGCTGTCATTGTCCGGCATTTTATTGGCCGGAGGCTCTACCACCAATTTTACAAATTGGTACCCAGTTGTGAATGCCACACTTGTCATTGGTCGCTCACCTTTCACCACTTGTCAAACTTTGCGCGTTTTTTTAGATTTGAATCTGCGATAAACGCAGGTGTATGTTAAGAAACTAACCACAGATAAATTTTAGTATACTGTTCCGAACATATGGAACGAGCCAACGGCCGTAGCCTTGCTGATCGCAATATTGAAGAGCCTTGTTGACGATCAGAGATCAAGATTTCTGGTCCGTCGCAAGCAAATGCCTCGAAGTTGTTATTGAAAGTGACAGCTGACTTTTGTATTTCCCGTTTACTCACGCACGTGGAAAGTCACAAAACCAATATCTGTTACCGTTCTTCTTGAAGGACGCCCCGATATCTGTTTGGGTGCGTGTGAAATAAATTTAGTCGATAATTTCGCAATTGAATTGAATCAGGCACTGGCGTTGTCACTGAATCGCTGAATAGAAGTCGCCTTTGTAACAAGCAAACTGTTTATGTGCCGTCAAAAGCAGTGCCAACCGATCGAGGGCAATGTGAACGCTTTGTTCAATTCTCTATGCTTGGCGGCGCAACAACAAGCAAATTTGAATCAAAACAAAAGGGTGGATTTGGGGTTGGATCTCATTGAACCTCAAACACTTCGATATAATTAGCAGAAATTTGTGAAAGGAACCAAACGAGATTTAGCACGTCCTAGTTAGGAGCTCCGCCTCGGCGGTCACCAATTGGCGAGATATTGTCGGGTTTGATATCTTTCTATCGCTTGCTGATAGGAACTCTCAACCCCCACAAAACCCAGACAAGCCGCGATGTTCAAAACTAGAGAGGTCTTGATATTGACACAAATTGGAATGAAAAATATTTACCCGAGAAATTTTCCCTTTGAATAGCAGAACAAAGTCGCCATTGAAAACATTTGTGCTCAACACAACGCGGAATAATACCTTTTGTTTTCCTAGTACAACTCCGGGATTTAAAAAACCATTCACCGTTGTCAAACATATCTCTTGATCGTCTGACGGCATTGTTGCAGCCAGCCCAACTAATTCATATATTAATTATCTGTCATATTCACTTGTCAAACACCTCATTTACGGAACTCTCGGTTCCAGACTTCCTACTCCAAGCAACTGCGCGAAATTTGCCTTAGCTAATGGAGCGTTACACCTAAGCTGGATTGTCCAACCCTAATCTGAACTGTCTCGTTTATAGGATTTCCGATCCGTCTTACACAAGGATTACTTATTTGGAGTGCGCCGAAAGGCAAGAGAGAGGGAGAGTTAACAGAATCGACACAACTAAATTGGATCAAAACACCTTGAAATATTTTACTCGCATTGTGGAATTCTTCCAAACCGCTGAATATCACTGATTGACATTTGCTTGCATGATCGAGAACAGAATGTCAAATCGCAAACGAGGGAAAAAAAATAGGGACAGACAAGACAAGCGTAACAGCAATTTAGCTAAGCTCAATTGCTACATGTAATGTGAGTGAACTCTCCATAAAAAAAGGTCGTTGCGAAGAATAATTTCTCGCACGGTCTTTGCAAGTCATCTTTCGTTGCCTTGGTTGAAATTTTTCCCAACCCCAGATTGTTTGCATAGAAACGGAACCCGAATAATAAGTTTATTGGTGATTCTGCCGTTGATATTAAGCAGTGGCGCCGCTCTGGTGGCGGTGAAAATACTCGCATAAGATTTCTTTACATGGAGTCAAATTTCTCTTTAGAGGTTGTTCCGGCCCAATTTCCGGAAATGTAATTCATAGCTAGGAAAAAAGAAAATGTAATTCTACGCAATTCGATTCCTATTTTCACCCTACCATAAAGTATATTGTTTGGTAGTTTTAGAAAGGAACTTGTTCTTAAAAAAGGAATTATCATCCAGGTTAGATAAGTCCAAAAAGGTGCTTTTTTATAGCAACAGGAAAATATGTAATCGAAAATGAAAACCATAAAACAGGTGCAAATGGCTCCATAGTGTCGAAACAAACGTGTCGCTAAAGAATACGATGTGATCGAAAATTAAAATTGATTTTTTTTTATATTCGAACAGCTCATTAGGGTTAGAGAATTTCTTGAAGTAAGGTATCACTGTATTTCATCACTGTTTTCGTGCATGATTCCGGCAGCTTTTTGAACGCAGAGTTAAATTACAAAAAAACCCTAATCCTGTGTACTTTGTAATGATCTTGCATATTTCAAAATTAAGTCAGATCGTCAGAGTAACATTGCGGTTAAAGCAGTTGCCTGGTCATGGGGAAAAAAAAGAACACGGAGATGCGATTATGATATTTTCAAGTCAGGAAAATGAAAATATATTCGATGTAAAAGACCAGCTATGTGTAGTTACATTTACATTTAGCGGAGAGTACCCAGTTTCCTTCATCTGACTTTGTTTAATGTAGATTACGCGAACAAAGGTCATTCGAATTTTAAAACAAGTTACAATAATCATTCAACTCTATTTGTTGAACATTCAAATTAGCTTCGACGAAAAAAAAAGAAAACCTGGCAAACATGGCGTTTTTTATTTTACACATTTAAAGCGAGCCTAGCGTAAATGCTGTGCTAAAAATATTGAACGATTGCTTGTCTATAGTGGTAATTTAAAAGCACAAAGCTGGTTGTCGCCTCGATGAAAGTAAGGTGTGTAAGTCATAGATCAGCGTTACATGCGATTTAAAATGGAGAAAAGGGCAAAAATACAAGGCAATTAGAAGCAATATTCAACAACTAAGAAAGCAGCCGCTTCGCGTCTTAAATATAAATGTACACAACATTGTGTAAACTTCAACAATATCACATTGTAAGGATCAAAAAGTATTCTGTCTACTTTGGCAAAGAATTTCCTAATGAGGATGTCTTTCAATGTCGAATTTCGTAACCTCCGGCACAGTTTTGACCTCAATTCTCGAGCTGGATATGGGCAATTTACGAGATTGTCTGGTTACGAAAGCGTAGACATCCCGTCGACATCTTCAGCGAAAAGTAACACATGTATTTTCAGCAAAATGACATTTAAGGAAGGTTTTCTCCAAAAGAACTTTCAGATATATTTGTTAATTTTTTTAGGCTTTGTTATATCTCAGCTGGCGGTATTAAAAGAAAAACAATCACCGTGTCAAAATGGCGGGAAAATATGTGATCAAGGGGAATGGCGATATTACTGTCAAAAATGGATAACGAAATTTACACAATGTGGCAAATTAAGAAGAAATCGTGTGGTTTGGTTGCCACGAAGACTGAAAAAAAAAAAAAAAGAAAAAAACTTTTGTCGCACAAACCACTCCGTTTACCGTGTTTCCGTTTTTTGCCGTGGTTAATTCCTAATATTAGGAGGGAAATTATACACAAAAGCTAAAACATCTGCTGCCCGAGAGCAAATGGACGCAAGAAACATTTGTGGCCGCAATTAGCGACAAGGCGATTTCTTTATACGTTCAAACTTTTTGCTGGTAATAAGAAACCGAAGCACGAAAAATTCGAAGAATTCTGACTTATATTTATAAGAACCACTCCTTGTAAATTAATTTGAGAGGTTTTGAGATAAAAAATAATATTGATGAAAATATGAATTCAAATAATGAGTGAACCTCTGTTTACGCCAAATAGCCCGTGGGAATTTTCTCTTTAGGCAGCGCTTGAAGTGAGAAAAACAAACAACTTCCATTGTGACCAAGACATCGTTCGGTAATTATTCTGTTCCGCTGTCCTTTTTTTGTCTTGATCCTCACAAAAGAAGTCAAAAGAAAGTATATTTACTTTATATTTGCTCTTTACATTTAAGAATAATCCACGGCCATATTTTTTAATAACTGCATATTCAGAATTTTGAGTTACTAGCGAAGGAAAATGTACAGAGGAAACGTAACCCAAACCTAAAATAAAAATTTATGCCTTCAAGGAACAGCTTGGCACTACAATTAACGCAATCTTTCCGAAAAAGATCGTATCTGAAAAAGTATGTAAAATTCATTGTGCAGATTTTATATCTTTATGTGGGTTAAGTGTAGTTTATCAGAAGAATATTTGAAGGTCACAAAAGAATATATTTTCTTTCTGTAAAATACTCACTATATTGTAATATTTCAATTCTCCGCAAATAAAGAGGTAATTCTTTTCACTCGAGCGAGTGACTTGAAATCATGTTCGTACGTAAAACACTTTTGAGCGGAATTATCAATCATGGAAATCATATGATTTCAAAGACTTTTTCCTCATCAGAGGAAATGTTTCCTTTCTTTCTTCATAAACGCCTGAAGCAGCTAGACAATGAGATTGTTTGCTTTTCGGAATCACGAAATACGTTCTCGATACTTTTCAAAATCTCTTGAGCTTTGCAATCTTTATGTCGTCAACTGACATCTGGTGCTCTCTTAAGTCCGGCAAAGAGATAATCCAACCTTTATTTACGAGGTAGCAACGTTTACAAATCTAAGGAAATTGTAAAATAATTAACACAGCATGGAGTTAAACAAAAACAAATCTATCCAAGTTGAGTGAGTTCTTCACATCGCTAAAAGTTTATTTTGGGACTAAAGAGCGTTTTGGAAGAGTGTTCAATTCATTGGGCAGATTCTCTAGTCATATTGCATCAAATCAGAGATTTTGGCCATCTTTGGCTTTCTCTGACCTTTAGAAAGCGAGAGAAGCCCATAAATTGAAGTTAGCAAAGAAGAGATACGAATAATCTCGCAGATAATGATAAGAACTACACATATTTTATCATTGATACCTATAAATGTTTCATGAATTCAGATGTGGCAAATCCCCTGGATATTGCGGACGAATCGAACTCAATCTTGACTGCACCTGTACCGGTTACAAGTTATCAGGATTTGCAAATTTTTCTTAGGATAAAAATGAAGATTCGAAGTAACATATTAGTTCGCACCATTATTTATCTAAAAGCAAAAACAGGGAAATAAGGAAAATGAATCCACAAAAATCAATTTACTTCTTAATATCGCCTATGTACTGAGTACAACAGTTGAGGCAAAAAAGACGCAAAGGGTCTTGCATTAGTTAATAGAAACGTTCCAAAATAACGAACTCATATACTGTCCATAAATTACTTCAGCCAAGAAATACTT